TCTAAATCATATTCCATCTACGAATATAATTTTCCCGATATAGATAAATATCTTTTAATATATAGATAGTAATACGGATAGGGTTAGTTATTTTAGGTTGGGTTAGATAGGTAACTCCTATTTCTCTCGTTTTCTCATAGAGAAAGAGAGAGAGAGAGAAAGAGGGAGAGTGAAATGACGTATCTCTCGAGAAACGCTTTAGGATTCTCCATGCGATGTTCCTCTTCACACCGGGACCACTGTGAATTATTACGGCAAGTCGAGTAAGAGAGGACTAGCTCACATGGCTTCGACACACTCGAGAATGGAAAGAGTAAGAGACAGCATCAGCAGCAACAGCAACAGCAACAGCAGTAGCAACAGACATACATACATACATACATACATCATACATACATACATACATACATATATATATACATAAGTACGTACATACATACACAGACAGATAGACAGACAAACAGAAAGAGAGGGAGAGAGAGAGTGAGAGAGAGAGAAATAGATAGATAGAGTGAGGAGGCTCTACACCAAAGAGAGCATCTGCCTGGGATGCATTCGGCGCTGATAGCTTTGTCGGCTTTCCGCTCGTATACGCTTCTACGCGCTGAGCCGCTTAAGAGGCCTCCTCCTCCTCCTCCTCCTCCTCCTCCTCCTCCTCTTTCTCCTCTACCACCAACCTTCTTCTCCCTTTCTCCTTCCCATACTTCTATACTAACCATCCTTCTCTTCTCTTCTCTTCTCTTCACTCTTCTTCTTCTCTACGTATCGCCATCTTTTCCTCCTTCGACGCCACCCTCCCTCTCCTTCCTCTCTTTCTCATCTTCCTCTTCCTTCTTCATTCTCATCCTACTCATACTCCATCAACGACGCTTCTACCAGCAGCAACACCCCTACAAAGCTTTATTGTGTGTGGGTGATGCGTGCGCACGCTTATAAATATACGATACAATATGTCCTCCACTTCTCTACTCTCTTCTCTTTTCTACTCTACTCTTTTCTCTTCTTTTCTCCTTTCTTTATTCCCTTTTCTTTTTTTCTCTTCCTTCGACAGCGTTGAGAAAAAGAAATGGTGAGTTTTTAACGTCGATTTACCGGCAAAAAGAAAAATTCCAAGAAATGTCTTTAACCGATCGATAATATTCTCTCGTCATTCATTCTCAGAAAGATAGAGAAAATGGTTTGTCATAAATATATAGATACCATATCTAACTTACCCGCATACATATCTAACGACTTATGCGAATTAAATAATTATTCGTTACTTATCGATTCCCTTTTTTTTTTCTTTTCCTCTCTCCTCTTTCTCTCTCTGTCTTTCTCTCTTCCTCTTTGACGTTGATCATGCTTTATGAAAGCTTTTGGTGTTTGTAATTTGAATATATCAAATGCTAGAAATTATGAATTAGGAAAAAAAAAGAAAATATAATAATATTCAACGCGAAATTTAATTATTAGATCAGAGAGAAAAATAATCGTGGTTTTTACGTTGCGAATAAAATGATCAAGAAAATTGCGATTAGATATTTTCCGATCAGATTATATATTAATTTTTTATATAATAATCATTACACGTTATGCAAATTTTGACATTGCTTATTATATACCTATCCATATATATATATATATTTTTTTTTTTAATCGTGTATGTAGCACTTAATATAATCCAGTTATACTAGTTTTAATACGTATATTTTGTACATTTCCTTTTTAAATTCTATATATATATATATAAATATAAAAAGAAATTAGTTTATGGTGGTTTAAAGGATTCAAAAAAAAAATATATATATATATAACTAGGGCATCTACCTATTACTTTTTTAAAAATTTGATACGGAAAAAAAAAGAAAAAAAAAGAAAAAAGAAAGAAAAAAAATACATCGTTGGAGAGACATAGACAGAGCGAGAGAGACAGAGAGAGAGAGAGAGAGAGAGAGAGAGAGAGAGAAATTCAATTTTACCTAAATTCACACCATAGAGTTTTCATTTTTTTTCTTTTTTCATTTTTTTTTCTTTTTTTTTTTTTTTTTTAAACTAACGTCGGCTCTCTTGCCTTTATGTCAAACGATTCCTCGATCGAGTAAGGCGGCTTAGTTAACGCACTATTGGTGAACCTCAAAGGTTCTCTTTTACTCCTCTTGCTCTTTTTTTTCCTTTTTTTTTTTCTTTCTTCTTCTTTTTTCCTTTTCTTTTCTTTCTATCTCTTCTTATTCGCTGAAAAGTCGTGGTAGGCCGCCTCCGAATGTGCGGTTGCTGCTCTTTTTCATGGTTTTCCTATTTCTATCGTAAGAACTCGCACGTTCCATTTACGCTTCGGAGTTTACGCTTCAATCGCATCTCGTTGTTGCATCTATCTAACTATCTATCTATTTATCTATCTATCGTTTGTTCGTTCGTTCGTTCGTTCGCTCAATCATTACACGGTTCTTCGATTTTCAATCGATCTTCCATCACTGGTCCATCCCTCGTATTATTTTTTTTCCAATATTTTCAAAGATTT